TCCCTCCCTCCCTCCCTCCCTCCCCCTCTCTCTCTCTCTCTCTCCCTTCCTCTCTCTTTCTCTGTGTGTGTGTGTGTATGTGTGATGGTGTGAGTGAGTGAGTGTGTGTGTGATGGTGTGAGTGAGTGAGTGTGTGTGTGTGTGCATGCGCCTGAGTACATGTGCGTGCGTACGTGCGTGTACTTTAAAAAAATGATAAAAACTGCCTTAAAAAAGCGGAAAAATGCATTTCCTTGCATTCACCACATTGCCACCACACAATGTACAGAAACAAAACCACTCACCTTCGCCAGCCTGGCCAGTTTCCTGGTGACGTCGCGGACAAAGCTACACGCCGACACATTCAGGTCCCTCCAGTGACCGTCCACCCCACACTTGTGGGTCGCCATGGCGCCGGCCTCGGCCGCCTTCTCACAGGGCTGGGAGACCAAGAGGCCGGCCATCGACTCCTCCCAGGTGAACATTCCTTTGGAGGTCTTGTTGGTGACCGTTGGGCACTGGAGAACCACGTCTGGCATACGCACCTCCACATGCACCTGGATTGTGGGAAGGGAAAAATGTTTATTACGTCTGATAAGCCACTTTTCACAAGCTTTGGTATAATATGTTTATAAACAAGGTTTATGGCATTTTCTAAATCTCTAATGCACCATGCATCTAGATTATTTTTACAACAGTCAGCCTCAAGTCAGTCAGGCAGAAACGGATCTATTTAAAAAATCCAGATTTCCGGATTTCTCCAGAAAACTGACACGTCTGAAGGATATGTGTCACGATGCAGTGGAATCAAGCATTCGTCAATCTGTTGGCATATGGAGCTATAGGTATCATTTAAAAGGTTGTTCATTTGCCTCGCATTTAATGAAAAAAATTTCCATTTATCTTGAAAAGAAGTCGAGATATTTGTATTTGAAGGAGGTGGGGTTGCGTGGTTTCAGAAGTAAAATTAGCGAGAAAATGGCCGCCAAAGTACTGTAACTTCAATAGCTCGAGAGTCCTTGGAAACTTCTAATTTACATTTTTTGAGCCTTTAATGAACGTTCTTCCATAAAGTCCACACATAAAGTATTGTTGAATGGACATACAAGGTGTTAAGGCAAAAACAAAACAAAAATCAGAGAGAAAAAAAATATCCACACTGACAGAAAAATACAGATTTCTTCGATTTCGTTATCCGACGAGCGCCTCATTTCACCACAATGCCTCACATCTCCTATGATTACCAAAACACCATCCAGCACAATACGCCTACATCCAAAAATTCGATGGCAACAAGGCAAGAGGGCGAACGAGAAAGACTTGGATAGATAGAGTCAGGGAAACACTAACAACTCACGGCATCCCCCTGACCCAAGCTCTCCGGCTGGCGCCAGAGAGACGTCTCTTTCTTCCCGCGACACCCAAAAGGGTATAAGCGGCAGATAAAAGTAAAAGTAAAGTAAGCCTCACATAATGCAGCGACGACGACGGACTCAACTCACTGTTTTGGTCAAGTTCTCAACTTACCGTTTTGGTCAAGTTCCCCGAGGAGGTGGACACGACACAGCTCCACTCGCCGGCATGCGTGGTGTCCAGACTCTCCACCACGAGGCGATGGATGATGATGGTCCGGTCCAGGTTGTGCGAGGTGTGGACAAACACGCCCATCGTCTTGTTGGTGGTCACCAGGTGGCCGCTGCGGAACCAGGCGATGCTCATGTCACCCGGCATGTACGAGGCGTGGCACTCAAAGGGCAGCTTGTCTCCCTTGAACACCAGCTGGCTCTCCGACGGCCGGATGTTGAACGTTAGCAACTGCACACTGTGGTCTGGGGACGGGAAAACAGTCAGGGATGGGTTTTTTAAGTTTTAGTAAGAGTTTTACGGCACATGCAAACAATATTGTCATACTTTAAGTTTTAGTAAGAGTTTTACAGCATTTGCAACACAATAAAGTCATATAAGTGCCAAAGATGAGAGGTGTTACAAGAGAGTAACAAACATAAAAAAGAAGGAGGGGAGATAAGGACGATAGACATTTGATAGGAAAAAAGAAGCAAATCACACCAGAGCACCCGCCAACAACCCACTAGTAAGAGTTTAACAGCACTTGCAACACAATAAAGTCATATAAGTGCCGACGATTAGAGGTGTTACAAGCGAGTAACAGGATGATAAATGTTTGGTAGGAAAGAAGGAGCAAACTACACCAGAACACCCGCCAACCACCCACTGGGATGTTTTTAAAAATGCGTACATCCTTTTAGTTTTAGTAGAGTTTTCACAGCGCTCGCAACTGCATAAGGCCATACGAGCGCCAAGAGGTGGATGTCAACAAAGAAGTCTTTACAGGGAATCAGGCTTATTCTGCTCACCTCTCTTTTAGCTTTAGTAGAGGTTTTACAGCACTTGCAAACCAACAAGATCGTATAAGTGCCGAAGATATTAGAGGTCTCACAAGTGAGTAACTAACACACACAAAAAAAGGAGGAGAGATCAGGACGATAGATGTTTGATAGGAAAGAAGGAGCAAAGCACACCAGAGCACCCACCAACCACCCACTGGGATGTTTTTTAAAAAGCGTACATCTTCAGTAAAGTTTTTACGGCGCTCGCAACTGCATATAGTCATATGAGTGTCAAGGGGTGGATGTCAACAGAGACGTCTTTACAGGAAATCAAGCTTACTCTGCTCACCTCTCTAGCTTCAACAGCACAAAGTCTGCTTTGACTATCAAGGCACCCCGGAAATAGCGGGTCACAAAAGTGTGACAAACATATAGAAAAAGTAGAGGAAAGTAGAGGAAATGACGATAGTAAGGATTAGGACAGAAAAAGTAGCAGTTCCCTGTTGCCGTTCAGGCACAGTTATGAGCATGACATTGATGAATCAGCCCATTTACAATTCTACTGTGCATAAGAACAAGTTAATTTTTCATAGCTGCTACTTTCTCAACTATTCTTTGTTCAAAGTTCTCCCTATCTCTATTTTTAAAAGACTGCCTTCTGCTTGCTCTATTTCTATCCCATCTCTATTTAACGCAGGTGTATTCACACCCCCATCAACTCTTTATTTCCGAGGGGGGTAAACCCACTACGCCACGGCCCTTTTTTGGCGCTAAATCTAAAAATGACAACAACGTCATTAAATGGATCATTAAATTGAAACTAGCAAACCTATTTTGATAGTTCTTCATCTAAAGAAATAACTTCTGGTATAAGAAACTCGTTAAAAGTAATTTGATGTCGAAGTCATCGTAAAGGAAAGTGCCCGAGCCACCGTCAGCGACTCAGCAACACAGTAGTTCCGGCCGCGACCCACTGGGAGCGGCTTGCAGTAGATAAAGAGTTAAAACAATTTAAATAATTTAGGAGGTGCTTCGGCCCTGCCTATCACAGCCAACTAAGGCTGAGAGCGATATATAACATCCCAGCAGAAAGGCCAAGATACTCAATAAAAATTCTCCTCATTTGGAAATCAATCTCAGGTGTCCTGCAAGCGACAGCAGAGTATACAATCACTATACCACAGACGCTGGTCTATCCCATCTCTAGCGTTTGATATGCCCAAAGTAGTTCAGTTACAGTTACGATTCATTCTGGAAGTATTGGAGTTTCTACACATATTCTTCATTAAAGATCATTTTCATAGAGCCTACTCCCGTGCCCATACAGCTCTTGGCACTTTGTAGAAATCTAATAAAATAAAAATAATAATAATAGATAGCATTTATATAGCGGAAATTCCCGCTCAACAGCAAGCTCTATGAGCTTTACAACCTATACTATTATCCCAGGAGACCTGAGAGCATTCTGAAAAAACGTCAACTTCCTGGGAAGCATACAGTGCAAGCAGCCATTTACAGGCGCTAAAACACTAACATACTGACAAGATCTTTTGCTGTCTATGGCCGGGTACCCATTCCCACCTGGGTGAAGTGAGGAAAATTTGTGTAAAGTGCCTTTCCCAAGGACACAACGTCGGGCCCGCGGCTCGAACCCCCGAACCCGCAACCTCACGATTACGAGTCTGGGAACCTAACCATTAAGCCACCAACGCAACCTAAATCATAATCTATTAATAACTTATTTATAGAGGCACCAAGCTATCCGTGTCTACGTGCAGTGTTTGGCCTCAAGATTCCCCTCCCTGACGTACCACAGTGCAAATCTCTGCGCTTCAGTTTGGACAGCGGTTTGTTTCTCATCTTGGCCGGGAGGGCACAGGTCGTGGACGAAGGTATCCGAACGTGTCTGGTTTTGATCCACTTCAGAATCCACTTGAGGTGACAATCACAGCGGAGATAGTTTGACTGCAGTTCACTGGGGAGTAGTACAAAGTCAAACAAAATTATTTTTTGGTTAATACCTCAACGTAAACAAAGTGCTAAGCGTCACTTCGTTTGGTAAAACCAAATACCTGAACTCATTCACTTCGTCATTTTTTAACCTTTGCGCTGGTTTTTTGGGGTTTTTTCTGCTAGCAGGCATCCGTTCAGTATATACATTAAGTTTTTTTAGTTTTAGTAATAATAATAATAGATAGCATTTGTATAGCGCATATCCCCGCTCAGCAGCAGGCTCTATGCGCTTTACACTATATTATTACCCCAGCAGATCATAGAACACTCCGAAACATTCTCAGCTTCCCGGGAAGCATACAGTGCAAGCAGCCGATTAAGCCCTCAAACACTAACAAACTGACAAGATCTTTCGCTGTCTATAGCCGGGTACCCATTCCCACCTGGGTGAAGTGAGGAAATTCGTGTAAAGTGCCTTTCCCAAGGACACAACGTCGGGCCCTTGACGGGATTCGAACCCACGACCTTACGGTTGCGAGTCCGAGAGCCTAACCACTAGCCAATAATACAGCTTGTTGTGAAGAGGAGAGTGCCGAGCTAATCAGTGTTCTTATCAGAGTCAATACGTTATAAGACAAGATGGGAGGTGTTTTTAGTTGGTCGACTTTTAAGCACAAGTCTACCCCGAAAAATACTGCTTTGAGAAAATCGAAGGAAAAATTTTCGAACCCTTGTTCAGTTTCTTTAAAAGACAAGGAGAGTTTTCTCTATAACCAAACAAGTATACACAAATGAAACCAAACTTATCCTACAGTTAGGGTAATGCCCACTTTTGGTGTATGTCAAGATTTCTGGAAACCCCCGAAATCTGGGTTCGCCTACTTGTCCTTAAAAGCGACTAGTTTAGTACGAGTTTTATGGCACTTGCAATAAAATACGGTCAGATAACTGCCAAAGATTAGAGGCGTTACAAGAGAGTAGCAAACACAAAAAAGAAGGAGGAGAGACCAGGATGATAGATGTTTGATAGGGAAGAAGGAGCAAACCATGACAAATATACACAAAAACACACACACACATACACACACACACACACACACACACACACACACACACACACACACAATAACATTGACCATAAAGTTATGAATAAACAGACAAACCTACATTACCGCTCATCTGTCAAAAAACAATTACCTGTACCAATGACAGTTTCCTACTTGCCCCTTGCATTTTTTCCCCTATTACAATCACTGTCCAGGAAGTTCACCTGTCAAAGACTGCACTTTTCCCAACGACAGTGGGAGGCCTTCTTGGACAATTTGGATTGTGTTTTTCTAACAGCCAAAGCTAAAAGAGAACTGAGGTGGACAATATCTTTCACATTGCCGTCGAAACCTGCATTTCTGCCATAATAGGACAGGAAGACCTGTTTTTGATTGGCCCACATTTGATTCGATATGAAATCCATGTTTTACGTGCCGATGACCTGGATATTTTACATCAACGCAGCACACAAGAAGCACACACGGTAAACCACCTAGCTTACACTATTTCTCCGTTTGTAGAACGGGTCTGTATCTAGTATATATAATGCACGGAAGGACACTTCACCTTAGACATCCTTGGCCAGTCCCTCGCTTCTTGACATTAATGCATAAATTACATTTATATCTCATGAATAATTCAAAACAGAAACCCCTGTACCAATATTGCATTAGCATACTCACATGCGCTTCAGTGACGGAAGATAATTGAAGGTCCCATCTGGGATGGTTGAGATGCGATTGTTGGAGAAAAACCTGTAGGGTACATGAGGTTCAGATATTAGGACATGCATACTTCAGGGATTTGGGTGGCTACTTGGGTCTCAGAAGGCTTACACCTAGTGCCATCAGCAGAAATTTTCAAAAGTCCTATCTGATATATAATAGGTGGCGCGACGGGGTGGAATCAGGCGCTCGTCAATTTTTGGGCATGTGAAGTAATTGGTATTATCATAAAGCTTGTTCATTTGCCTTGCTTTCGTTGAAAAAATTATGCATTTATCTTGAATTATAGAAATCAAGATATTTGCAATGGAATGAGGTGGGGGTCACCTTGTTTCAGAGGTAAAATTAGTGAGAAAATGGCCGCCAAAGATGAGTTATTTCCTTAGCTTGAGAGTCCGTGAAAACTTAAAATTTACATTTTCTGTGCCTTTAATCACATTTTTCCGTAAAATCAACACATAAATGTGTTCTTTAAAAGGCACGAAATGTGTTGAGCCAAAAAACGAAAATTCGATAAAAATTCACAAGCATGCGGGAAAATACCAGTTTCTTCACTTTGATTATTTTGATGAGCGCCTGATTTCACCACGCTGCCTCACATATGGTTTAATTCATTCAAGAGCAGCCAGATTTTCACTTGACGGGCAAAAGCTACCATTTTCGCAAATCCAATCCTCAAAAAATCAAACATGTCTCATTTTGTAAATCGTGATCACACACATTCGACAAAAATATCGAGCAAAATCAATTCACAAAGGACATACTTATTCCCTTCAAAAGACTAGCTCAGCTTAAAAGAGAACGGACAGTCATGACTGTCGATGTTGCGTTTCAGATCCTGCTCTACTGAGAGAGAAAAAAAGGATGCAACAAATTGAATGATTATAGAATTTCTGCATATCATCATCATCCAGTGCCAGATCTGCGACAGACATCAGCCATCATGGTTCTCCATTCATTCCTTTGTTCGGATGCCCTCAAAAAAGCTACGTTTCCCTGATCTTTCCCTGTTGCCCATTTGTTTAGGTTCTCCAAGTATGTTGTTCTGGGGCTACCCCTGCCTCGCTTGCCCTCAATTTTGCCAGTGAGAGCTAGATGTTCAAGACCCTTATGTCTATTCAGGTGTCCCAAAAACTGCATTTGTCATTTCCTGATTGTTTTTAACATTGAGCGTCCCACGTGGGCTTCAGAAAGCACTACCTCATTTGATTTCTTTTCCTTTCACCATACTCTTAGCAGTCTCCTAAGAAACCAAATTTCTGTTGCTTCTATTTCTGCATATAAATACTGAAAAATACTTCAGGTTCATGACTGTCGACGTCCTGTTTCAGATCCTGTTCTGAGAGAAGAAAAAAAAAGGATTGCAACAAACTGAATGATTATGACATATAACTTCTGAAAAATACTTCAGGTTCTTAAAGTACTCACAGTTTCTCCAAGTTGGGAAGTCCAGAAAACATGCTGCTATTGATCGTCCCGATCAGATTGTTGGAAAGATCTCTGTAGACGAGAATCAAAGATAAAAGTAATAATAATTTAAATAATAAGGAATATCATTTGTTTTGCACAAACTCCTGTTCCACCGTAAGCTCCAAGCACTTTACAATCTAAATAATCAAGGGTAAGCTTATAAGATGTTTATAACTATTTTGTCTTTTTCAAATGAACTGTACAATTGATAATACAAAAAATGGTGAGACAGACTCATAAAAAGAAAAGTTTATTATTTTAAAAAGAACGAGTAACAAAAGTAATCTCCTTTTATGACTCACACAGGCTTATACTTAATCCATACGGCACTGAACTATTTTTAGCCCTCACTCCCCCCTGGCTCGGGTAATACAGGAGTCCTTTCCTCATCAGGCCCAGCAGATATTGATTGTGTCTGCAGTTTTTTGCAGACATAAAAAAGATTTCTATACTGCTTTTCTTTTAAATTTTTGAAAATAACACGAAGAATATATTATATTCTTCGTGTTATTTTCTAAAATTTAGAATAATATTTCAAAAACAATTGGATAGACAATATTTTTATACTCATGTCTGGGTTTAGTTTAGTTTTAGTAAAAGTTTTACGGCACTTGAAACACAATAAGGTCATATAAGTGCCAAAGACTAGAAGTGTTACAAGACAGTACCAAACATAAAAAAGAAGGGGAGACAAGGACGATAGATGTTTGATAGGAAAGAAGGAGCAAACCACATCAGAGCACCTGCCAACCACCCACATATCTGGGTATGAGGTAGGCAGTGCCGGCCATGTGAAGTAAATGTACACGACTAGGCCTGGGGAAATGAGAAGCCTTGAGGAAAATATACATAAGCCACTAGTGCTGTCAGGTTTAACATAAAAATTCCTCAGAGAAGAAATACATAGATATTTGAGGCAGTGTGGGGCAATCAGGCGCTCGTCAAAATACAGAAATCGGAGAAAAAGGCATTTCTTCTGAAACTTTGGAAATTTTTATCGAATTTTTGTTTTTTTACCTCAACCTCTTCTATGTCCATATTTAAACACATTTCTCGTGTGAATTTTACTGAGAAACATTGATTTAAGGCACAAAATATGTCGTTCTTCTGTTTTCAAGGACTCTAGCTTTTGCAGTTACCAAACTTTGACGGCCATTTTGTCACTAATTTTACCACTGAAACCAGACGACCTCACTTCCTTCAAATGTAAATACCTTGAGTTCTATTCCAGATAGATGGACATTTATTTAATTGAAAACGAAGCAAATAAACCAGCTTTTAGATGATACCAATAACTCCACATGCCCAAAAATAGACGAGCGCCTGATTTCGCTGTGTCATGACACATATGACTTACAATTTTTTCAGACTTTTCAGGCCATCGAAAGCACCCGGTTCAATGATGGTGATCTGGTTGCTGCTTAAATTCCTGAGGGGAAAAAATGGAATTATATTGATTAAGACTGGAAGAGCAATCAAAGCATCTTGGTTTGTATCAATTTATCAGAACCAACAGACGAAAGGAAAGAAAAACCATCCTCTCTCTTATAGTTGTGTCCTACAACCAGAG